CTGTCCATTTCCTGAGCCTGTCACAGTCAGCCTGGATCGCCCTCCTGTCCTCAGGTGTGGATGATTTACCACAGTGTTTGGTGTCATCGGTGAACTTGGCCAGTCCGCTTGTGATACCAATGTCCACATCATTAACAAAGATGTTGAATAGTATAGGCCCAAGGACAGAGTCTTGAGGGACCCCACTGGTCACAGGGTACCATGACGATTGACTTCCATCAACCATCACCCTCTGAGTCCGACCATGGAGCCACATCCCCAGTCAGCAGATCGTGGTGAAGCCGAGGCCGCACTTGGCCAGTTTTGCCAAGAGGTGATCATGGGACACCAGATCAAAGGCTTCTTTTAAGTCAAGGTATACAACATCAATCTCTTTTCCCTTGTCTAGGTGATAGGTCACCTGGTCATAAAAGGATATAAGATTGGTCAAGCAAGACCTACCCACAACAAACCTGTGCTGGCTATCCCTCAGGATGTTGCTGTTGGCCAGTCTGTTAAGAATGGCCTCTTTGATAATCATTTCTAAGTCCTGCCTGGGATAGAGGTCAGGCTGATGGGCCTGTAGTTTGCCGGATCCACTTTCCTCCCTTTCTTGAAGATAGGCACCACATTAGCCTTCTTCCAATCTTCGGGCACTTCACCAGAGTGCCAGGTGTTCTTGAAGATTCATGCCAGGGGCTGAGCTATGATGCTTGCCAGCTCTTTGAGTAGCTTGGGGTGTAAACTATCAGGGCTGGCTCATAGCAGTCTTCAAATACCTGAAGGGTTATTATAGAGAGGATAGAAATTGGCTTTTCTCTGGGCAGGGTGGACAGACACTTGGATGTGATGGTTTAGTCAAGTAGTCAGCGCTACTTGCCTATGATTCTAACTCAGATTTTAAGGCCAATAGTCTTAGTCCAAACATAGTGACTATGAAAAACCCAACAGCGTGGATGTCAACACAAGATAAATGCTTCTCCAAAGGGTTTTGCAGCCTAAATTGAATTCTATACTATGACAGCTGAATTGCAAGTTGTATCCAATCTAGCTAATTTGTAAGGTAGATGGATGTACCTATACTATAGTGCAGTGAGTGCAATGTACATACACTCTTTTGTTGCTAATTGTGTCATATAACAAAGCTGAGACTTTTTTTTTTGCTGAAGATAGTTCACTGACTTGTGATTACTTGTGTTAGTTCTGTGTGCTTTCAGGTTAGAATGTATTTAAAATTGACAAGGTTATAATGAATAACAGGTTTTTGTCTTACAGTATGCTTTCTAAACATTGAATTATTAAATGTATTACTCATTAAAGTTGTCTCACATTATGTACCAAGATTTTTGTTGGCGATATCTTCTATTGGACCAGCTTCATGATTGAGAATAATTTTAAACAAGCTTTCAAACACAATGGCTAGGGACAGAAATTACATACAAACCAGTTTAAGTGATCAGAAACTGGTTTAAATCTGTAACAGAACAGAAGTTCAGTGCACATAAACCAGTTTCAAAATGGTTGAAATGGGCAGCTCGGGAAGTGGGACCCATCCCAACTGGCTGCGGCTCAGGCTGGGGCCATGGGAGCTGTGCAGCCAGATTGCACCTGGCTCCTCACACCCAGGCTGAGTTGGCTGACAGTCATGGAGCCACAGCTGCTGGGGAGGGCTCTGCCCCTGCGACCTGGCCCAGCCCAGCCTGGTCCCTCTGTGCCTGCCTTCAGCAGCATCTGCAGCTAGCCCGCTCAGCCCCGGGTGAGACAGGCAGATAGTGAGGCTGGCCCAGGCCAGGCAACAAAAGCAGGACCCTTCCAAGCTGACTGTAGCTCCATGACAGCCAGGTCTGGCATGCATGGACAGTGGCTGGCTGGGCAGCAGCGCTGTGGTGATGCCGCTACAGCTTCAGGCAAGTACCTTGGCAGCTGGATTGGCTATGCAGGACAAGTCCTTCATGACCATGCCTGCCCGGGCCAGCTCATAGGTGCCCTTGGGCCCAGTGCCTAGCAACTGCCCACCATGGGGGCTCATGTGCCTGCTGCCACCACTGCTGCACCCCCTGCATGGTGCTTGTTCATCCATCTCATGTGGCAGCTATAGACAGATGAGCAAACACCATGCAGGGGGTGTGGCAGCAGCAGGTGAAGGCACACAAGCCCTTGTGGCAGCTGGCTACCAGGCTCCGGGCCTGCCAGCACCTCCAAGCCAGCCTAGGCATCCCCGGGCATGAAGGATTCATCCCTTGAAGCCCGTTCAGTTGTGAAGGTGCCTGCCCACAGCTGCAGTGGCATTACCTCTGCATCACTGCCTGGCCAGCCATCACCCTTGTGCACTGGGCCAGGCTGTCACAAAGCTGCAATCAGCTGGGAAGGGTCGTACCCCCATGGCCCAGCGTGGGCCAGCGCTGTTATCCACCTGCTTCACCCAGGGCTGAGCTGGGCCAGCCCGCAGGTGCTGCTGAGGCAGGCACAGAGGAGCCAGGCCAGACCAGTTCGCAGGTGCAGGGCTCTTCCCAGCCCCCTGTGGCTCCATGACAGCCTGGCCTGGCTTGGGCATAGGTAGCTGGGAACAATCCAGGTGCACAGCTCCCTCAACCCCAGCCACAGCTGACTAGGAAAGGCCTTGCCCTCATGGCTCAGCTCAGGCCAGCCCCTCCGTGCCTACCCTCAGCAGTCCCCACAGACCAGCCTGGCTCATCCCCCCAGCCCCAGCCTTAGCCCTGGGTGAGGCAGGCAGATAGTGGGGTGAAGCCAGCTGGCTTTGGCAATGTCCCCCACTGTGCGAGCAGCCAGCAGGGCTGAAAGCTGGGCAAACCCTAGCTGGGGTCCCTGTGCCTGAGGCAGGAGACAGGGAAGTTTAATCCCCCTCCCTGCCCCCACTTGACCTGAGGTTGCTGCCCAGGTCAGCTTGGGCCATGCCCCCTGCTGCATGAGCAGCTAGCAGCGGGGAAAGCCAGGCAGACCCTAGCTGGGGTCCCTGTGCCCATGGAAGAGAGGGAAAACAGGGAAGTTTAATTTCCCTCCCTGCCCCCCTTCACCTGAGGTGCTGCCCTGGCCAGTGTTTGGCCATGCTGCCACTGGGGACAAACCTGACAAGGGCTGCTTCTCCTTTCCCCGCCCCCAGACACACCCCAGCTGGGGTCCTTTCAGGCCAGGGTGAGGGTTTAAACCCCTCCCTAATCACACTCAGTGGCTTGCCTGGGCCCGCCGCACCCCCAGTCAGCTTCCTTCCAGCCTTGTAGCTGCTGCTGAAGGGAAGGGAGGGCTCACTCCAGAAATGCAGGCATGTGGCTACATTTCCAGAATGAAAAGTGAATGTCTATTCACTTGCAAATCGGTTCAATCTATGAAGGTTAGACTAACCTGCAAAGATTGAATTAATTCAGTCTTGGGCCTTTTGAATGTCTGTGCTTAGTCAATGTGATCTTTTGATATATCAAGGACTTTGTTTTTCAGTACAGCTTCATTGTAAACATCATCACCTGGCAGGTGAGACTGGATTGTTTTCTGCTGACTGCCAAAATAGTACGAGTCATGGTAATGAAATGAACGAAGCATCCAAGTGAACAAGGAATTGAATCTAGTAAAAATGGTTTATTTTTTTCTAGTTCTGCCTTAATATTTGTAGCTATTGATTTAAAATACTAACTTGTGCTAGTCACTGCCAGAAGAGGGATCAGAATCGAGGTCATCACTCCTTTTTATTTTGAAAAATGAATGGTGCTTTAACTGTCATCAGTTTTTTTATTGGAGTTCCCTTTTGTCTGAGCTATGAGTCTGATATGATCTGAAGTATGACCAGAATGAAGTAGAACAGAGCAATGATATAAGTCTTAGTAGTAAAAGATGTTATATACTTAATTGCTATATAAATGACCTCCCACTTATAATAAAAAAAGCCATTTTCAGTATTGATTTGTACACATGTTCTTGGCAGTTTGTTGCCATGGAGAGCTGGAGAAGTCCCAGCAGGCATATGGAATAGTTGTGGTGTTCGTTTCAACTTTCACTTGGCTAATAACTGATATAAAATGAGGAAACATGCTTCAGGCAGGTATGATTTGCATATTATGCTTGTAAACTTCTTGGTATATGAAATATTAACAGAATTAGGTGGACTTTGTAAGGATAGTTTCATAAACACAGATGGAAGTAAAGCATGAAGTATTCTGATGTTGTTTCATTTCCTGTGTGATTATTTTTTAAAACTAATGGGACAAATCTGGGACAAATCCTTCCCTGATTGCAGTTGATTTTACACCAATACTAAGCATGATTCATTTTATCTTCAAATGTAACCAAAAAAACCCAAACCAAAACTCGTTTTATCCCATTAAGGCCATCTGTTCTCACACATATTGTAGGTAAATTAATCATTTCTGCTTTAGCTGTGTGTTCCTTCTTTCTTTCTTTTTTTTCTATTTATTTATTTTTTTCTTTTTTGGTCCTTCTGCACTATATTATAATGGGGAAAATTGTCAGTATCTAATAGAAACATATTGATTGCAGTAAGGAACTCTAAGAACTGTATGTAACCTGCCCTGCTCTCCTCACAATGGTCAGTGATATTTAACAGGATAGAAAAGGGTAATGTGCATGTGCACTTTCTGATGCACTTTCTTGTACAAACAAGGCAAGAAATCTTTCATTGTTATAATTTGTTCCCTACATGGCCTTGAATGTCCATTTCATTGACACAAGATAATGGTTCTTTCTCTGAGTTTGCAGTTTCTTGATGGCTAGGTATTTACCTGCAGTAGGACTCCACTACTGAACATTAGGGTATTATATTCACTGATTTATAGGCATATGTTTAAAACCAAAGTGATAAAAGATTTAAAATTTACTTTGTATTGTTATTTAAATATCTTCAGTGCCAGGTTTACATCTGATCATTTTTAGTAAATATAAGATATGTGAGTAAAGATTCAGCCTAAATGAGTTATCGCTGAAAATCTGTCTGAAACCAGATACAACTGTGTGCTGTAAAACATGTCTTTTTGTTCTTTGTTCAAGGGTTAAAGCCAACTGAGTCAACCATGACTGGCAAAACACAGACCAGCAATGTCACCAATAAGAATGATCCCAAGTCCATCAACTCCAGAGTCTTCATTGGCAATCTGAACACAGCCATTGTCAAAAAAGGTGACATAGAAGCCATTTTTGCAAAGTACGGAAAAATAGTTGGCTGCTCAGTGCACAAAGGTTATGCATTTGTACAGTACATGAGTGAGAGGCATGCAAGGGCAGCAGTGGCAGGCGAGAATGCCAGGATCATTGCAGGACAACCACTTGGTAAGTGCTTAGGACTGGTACACTTTTTTTCTCTTTTCCCTGTTAGTTTGAAATATTTTTACGTTGTTTCTTGGGTTTATTTGTGTTTGGGTGTTTTATATACCTTTAAATAAGGACTATTTCTGGTAGTTTCAACTTTTTCAAATAGTCTGCATGTTTTACTTCAAGTACTTGAGTAGTCCTGTTGAAGTCAACAGAAATACTCCAGTGAACAGGAACATGTGTTTGAATGATCTATCACTAGCTGGTAAATTTTACAACAGATATTTTGTCTATAGGAAATAGGATAGGATCATAGGAAAGTAGGTTCACCTCATCCAGCCCTCTAGTCAAGGAAGGAATGTCTCTGATTAAATCATCCCAACCAAGTGTCTGTTCAACCTGCTCTGGAAAATTTCTAGCAATGGAGATTTCACAGCTTCGCTAGGGAGCTGGTTCCAATATTGACCACCCACCAGAAAGATCCTCCTAATGTCCAACCTAAATTTGCTCTGCTGAACTGTGAGGCCACTGTTTCTAGTCCTGTTCTCTACAGCCACTTGGAAAAGTCTTTCATCATCCTCTCTACAATTTCCTGTCGGGCTGTTATCAAAGATTGTTATCAAGTTTCCCCACAGTCTTCTCTTCTCCAGACTAAGTAACCCTAGTTCTTTAAGCCTTTCCTCAAAAGTCATGTTTTGGACATGGACATGATACTCTATGAGAGCATGGCCTCATGGTTCTTATAAGATATATATAAAATTTGCAGAGTTCGTTGTGGTTAGAAATTAATCTTACATGAAAGAAAGAATGACTGCAAATTTTCTAGGGACGCGTGCTATACAGAGTATCTTTTCTGCAGTTCTCCCTTACTACTTATTACGCAGTCCCTTGAAATTGCCTGGAAACCCAAACATGAATCTTTCTTGTGCCTTGGTCTCCCTTTTTAGAGAACAAATTTGGGAAGATTAAGCATTGTCCCACAGGACCAGAATCACACAATTGGTATAATTTTTTCTGTTTCCATGATTGTAATGACACACAACGGTTCTTAAACATGAACACATTTTTAATATTTGAAGTTTTCTTAAATTTATTGATTTTAGAGGTTGCATCATTCATGCTTCAATGGCATATCAAAGTCTTGCAGAAGCAAGAAAGAGAGGTTCAGTGTTTTTTAAATGGTGCTAAATTACCTAGAGAAAGTATTTTCTATGTAGAAAGAATTGTCTTACATGGATAATTTAGGATTTTAGGATGAATTTATTCTTCTATGTAGGACTGTAGAATGTGTCCCTTTGAACTAAATCTAGGCTATGATTTTTGTTTGCTAGCATTTTTATAAAACAATGTATGTATAATCCAGATGTTACATATAAAAAATTACCTTTCAAAGTGGATAGCTTTTAACTATAAAGCCTTTTGATTAAAAATCCCTTGGAAAACTTTGGTCTCCAATTTGTTATGAGTATAGAAATACTGGAAAATACAGCAGGTTATTTTGGTGGGATCTAAACAGCTTGAAATAGAACATCATTGCTGTTTTGGTGAACCCACAGCAAGTACAGGAAAGATTGTAAACTTCAAACGAAACTTGGTCACTTCTTCTAGATATATATGATGTTGATTTTTGCTTATTTGGGTGGTTTCAGTACTTTTCATAACTGCTGATACACAATAGCATTTCTGTCAGTGCTTGAAAGATTCTTTAAAAAGTATGTAAGATTGCGAACTTCTGTGAACTTGTGTGAAATAATAGCAGCCAAACATTCAAGTAAATTGAATTGCTAATAGTTTGAGTCAGCAGAAATCATCCCAAATATGCTGTAACACACAAACCCAAAGGCATTGAATGGTACTGTAGATTGGGGCGGGCAATTATTTTGGCTGGAGGACTGCTTAACAAGTTTTGGTGAGATGCCGGGGTCCACAAGGGTGGTCCTGCCCCTTGACAAGCACCTCGTCCCTGGCTGCCATCTTGGGACTGGAAGTCCTGCCCCCTGCCCTTTGCTACCAGAACTCCCTCTCCTTCCCCCAGAAGTATTCCTTTTGGGAAGGGGGTTTACCATCTTGGAACTGGGTGGGGGGAGAATTATATACTAAAGAAATATCTACAATACCGTATTTTAATTTTATTTTGAAAAATATATTTTGGTCCTGATTTTGTGTGTGTTTGCATTGTTTATATAGAGGTGATTGCATAGTAGGGGAAAATGAAATCTTACTCTTGTATATTGTGGGGGTGTAGAGAAGTGTGGGGGTATATGTGGGTGGGTACAGGGCTTGTGGGGGCTGTGGATGTGTGTGTGTAATGTGGGTTGTAGGGGAGGGTGTGGGGATATGTGTGGATGTGGGTGGGTGGGTACAGGGCTTGTGGGAGGCTGTGGGATGTGTGGAAGGGGAGGGTGGCTGGGAGTGTGTGTAGGTGCATGTGTGTTCATGTGTGTGGTGGAGTGTACATGTAGCAGTGAGCGGGCCTCCCCCCAGAGGCATGCAGGTGTGTGTATGAGTAATGTGGGAGGGTGTGGGGGAGGGTATGAGTGGGTGTAGTGTTTTCGGAATTTGTGATTGTGTGGGGGGAGGGTATGGTTGTGGGGTTTAAGGGTATAGTGAGGTGTGCATGGGAACCTCCTGCACATGCCTCCCTGAGCTGGTCAGCACCTGCCTCTGCCCTGCAACAGCCCAGAGCCCATGTACCCTGCAGTATCTACCCATCACTACCAACAACATGCAGCCCCAGCCCACCCTGCAGCTGCTCCGCACTGCCCTGCTGTGGTGTGTCCTGCTGCCCCTTGGGTATGCAGCAGGGCTGGGGTGGCTCTGTGGCTGGACTTCCTTTCTAGGCATCCCAAGTGGTAGCAGCTCCTTCTGGCTGCTACTGCTGCTGGCTGCAGCTTTGGAATACTGGTAGGGACCCACACTGCATAGCAATACTGGTAGGCACCCAGCATGCCTGGCACCGGCTTCAGAGTCACCCATCCAGACTGAGTAGCAACAGCAGCAGTGGCTGCTGAGCAGAAACTGTTGCTCTGTGCAGGGGAAAAACAGCTCCTCCCCCTTGCCACTGTCAGGCCCTTCCTGTTGCAGCCACCTGGAGCCTGTGCCATGCTGGCCTGTCCTGCATCTCCACTGCTGTCATCATCACCTCTAGGCTGCCCAGCAAGGCAGCACTGGCAATGCAGAGCAGCTGCAGGATAGCCTGGGCAGTGGTAATGGTGGTAGAGACCCAGGGTAGTCTGGCACGGCACAGGCTCCAAGCAGCTGCAGCAGAAAGGTCCCAGCAGCGGTGAGGGGGAGAGGCCGCCTTTCCCCCTATGCTGATCAACAGTTCTGCCTACTGCTGCTACTCAGCAAGGACAGGCAAGTCTGGAGCAGTTGCGTGGCACGCCGGCTTGGGGCTGCATGCAGAGGTCCCTACCAGTACAGCTGGTATCAGGAGTGGCGGCAGCCAGAAGAAGCCACTGCCACTTGGGGTGCCTAGAACGGCAGTTCAGCTGCAGAACTGCCCCATCCCCAATGTATTCCCAGGGAGCAGCAGGATGCACAAAGTCCAGGCACCTGGCCGAGATGGAACCAAGGGACCTGCTGTGGACCAGATCTAGCCCACAGGCCATATTTTGCCCACCCCTGCTGTAGAGAATGATTTGATAGTTGACTGACCAATTTATCATAAACTTCCTGAGTATTTGTAGAACCAGAGTTCTTTTATGATTTTTTTAAAAGCTATTTTATGCAGCAACTATTGTATAGTGCTTTGGAGTTATATAACTAATATGCTAGGTCTCCAAAAAAAGAAAAACATCTGATAGGCTATTCAATCATATTTTATTAGCTTGCTTTATAACTACTTCATAAAATGTCTTAGAGAAAAGTCAGAATCAGATGGTAAATAACAAAAAACTATAGGCTTGTAGCTTATTGTCATGAATGCTTAGCTAAAGAATCTCTGTGCGCTACATTCTCTGTGAGATGGCAGTCTTGGAGCCTGTATTCTGAGTCCATAATTCTAAGGAACAGGCTAAAGAATGCCATCAGTGCATTAAATACAGCTCCTCACCAACCAACTGACCCAATTATTTCCAAAACCATTCCTTCCTAGGGCAAGCCTACTGTTATTACCATCACTACTATGGCTGCTGCTGTTTTATTTGGTTTTGGTTGTACATGATGTGCGAGGTGCTTTGAGAAGATGGGAATGGTGAGAGAAATGTTAGGGAATATGACAAGGGTCAGGATGGGACCAGGAACTGAGCTGACAGTTGGGAAAGAATCAGGAATATGAAAACAAGCTAACAGTCAAACATTAAAGTCCAAGGCTAGGAAATGAAAAAAAGAAAACTCACCTCTTCACATGCATATAGACAAGAGCAGGATTCATTGGCTATCCTTCAATATGAGAATGAAGTCCTCTATGGGGGGATTATTGGTGAGTTTTAAGGTGCCTGAGGAGTCCAATCCATGTTCTGCAAGTTTTTCCACAGCTATGACAAGTGGTGCTTTGTGGTAGGGGAGGGAGAGCGCCAACTGTTGGCCGGGATGTTGTGCACTGTCCTTCTTCCTCTGCCATTTCTTGGCTTCCTGACCAAGACAGTTCACTTCAAAGTGGGCTGTAGCTTGATGTATGGTGCAGTGCTTGATGTATGGGCTGTAGCTTGATGTATGGTGCAGTGCCATTGAGACCTGTTACCATCTAGCACTTCCCAATTTGTAAGGCTGATGCCAGCCTTCCTAAGATATCCTTTCAGGGAGTCCTTGTAGCACTTGCTCTGCCCTCCAGAGGTCCTCTTACTATGACTAAGTTGAGAGAAAAGGACCTGTTTCGGGAGATGAGTGTCAGCCATATACACACAGTGGCCAGCCCAGTGATGTTGATGTTTCATGATCTTTGCCTCAATGCTGGTTATTTTAGCTGCAGAGAGGATACTGGCACTAGTGCAGTGGTCTTCCCATCTAATGCAAAGAATCTTCTCAAGGCAATTCTGATGGAACTATTACAGATGCTTAAGATGGCTTCAATATGT